GCATGATCTTTCCGCGAATGACGTCATTCATGGAAAATTCAAGATGGCGCCCAGACTTATTAAAAGCGTGTATAAGGCTTGGCTTCAACCAACCTTGTTCTGTTCCACGCGGCAGGGTTTACGCTCTCAGAATAAAAGGAAGCATTCTTTAAACCGATAGCAGTACCAAGTGTAAACGTTTCCATTATTATCTCGTTAAATTCCATTTAAAAGGAGATCTTTAAACGAAAACGCAACGTACAACTGACAACAACGAGAGCGCAGAATTCCACTGCAGTCGCAAGCTAATTTCCATTGTTTCTTGGCCCGTCCTCTCCCCACCTCCAGACCAGAAATACAATACTTTCAGGCAGCCACAAAGTGGAGGAAAAAGCTGTATTATTTGGCTTTTCTACGTTCTAACTTAATAATGGTTGATTGCATCAAATCGTTTGGCTGGGAGCAATCACGACAACATAAACAAAGCACAGTTTTGCGCACCTTCGATGTACAAAGCTTGAATTTCTCTCTGGAAGGGAAGACCTAAAAAGAAAACAGTCTGTACAAGCTTAGCTAAGTGTTCACGTTTATAAGAGCGATTGTGTTTCTGTCAATGATAGACGGATATAATTCGACGGTAAATACAGATTAGAAGTTGTGTGCTGGAGAAATAACTTATCATTGGTTGCTCTTAAAGTCTGGGTCGGTAATTTACGTTACATGGAATTTTTTTTTCGATAGCCCTTTAGGCTTTTATTAACTTGTTTACCCTACTTACCAGAAAATTCGGATTAATATTGTGGCGGCAATATTTTTTTTCTCCGTGCATCCTACCTGTTTTGATCTTAGTTACCTGGAATGTCTTTCCGTGTTGGACTCTCAAAAAGTAGTAGAAACGAACTTACTTTTTTGAATTGTATTTTGTTCAGGGTGCAAAGAAAGTTAGCTTTAAAGCTTGCTATTCCGGCAAGTTGTACCAAGCATACACTAGCCTGAAAGCCAGTTTGACTATGCCAGTTTATTTTTTTTATTATTTTTTTATGAATGGAATTGATTGCAGTTCTTCTGTATTCTTGATTCCCTAAAAATCTTTACTTGCCAGCCAGGTAATTTAAAAACACAGTTCACCTACCCAATCATAAAATCGAGTACCCCAGGGCTATTGCCTGGACACTACTCTTTCCACTCTATTTGAACGCTGTTTAATGTAATTAAGCTAGAACTAGAACCTTTGAATGCCTTTTAACAACACTTTTACTCGGAAATACGATCGAGATAATAAAATAAAATAAAATAAAATTTTCAACCGGAACACTCTCAAACCTAGCTATAGCTGCATGAACAACGTAAAAGCCATTATCTCGAACCACAATAAAGCCGTCATTAGCAGGTCATCAAAATTACCAGTTCAAACTATCAACACTTGCAACTGCCGCGACAAAAGGTCCTGCCCTGTGGACGGAAATTGCAACGAGCGGAATATCATATACCAAGCAGAAGTCACGACATCGGACTCGAAGCAAACTTACATTGGTCTTTGTGACACATCATTCAAATCGCGTTACAGAAACCACACTTGCTCCTTTAGAAATGAATGTTATAGAAATTCCACTGAGCTAAGCAAGTATGTACGGGGCTTGAAAGACAAGAAAACTGACTACCAGATTAGATGGCGGAGTATTAAACATGCAAGATCCTATTCAAATGTAACGAAGAAGTGTAATTTACGTCTGTGGGAGAAGTACTATATAATTTGTAGACCGAATATGGCGACCCTGAACAACAGAAATGAACTCGTATCAAGTTGCAGACATGCAAAGAAATTTCTTCTAAATAACGTGATTATTTAAGCCTGTAAGACGTATTTTCTTTTTTCTTTTTCGGCGGTTTACTGAAAATTGTTTATCCGTTGCTATGCAACCCAGCCTATTATGAATCGCTACCGTTTTTTTTCAAAATCACTCTAAATCACTATAAAACACTATGTATTGTTTCTTTTTGGCAGTTGCCTGATGATTGCTTCTCATGAAGCATAAAACTCTGAGTAACAAGTAAATGTTTTCGACCTAGTTCAAGTCTACGTATCTATTCAAGGCTCTGGTAAACCCACTGAGCACTTTTTAGTTGATGATCAATTTGAATTTCGTCATTTCATTTTAATATATAATATATATATATATATATATATATATATATATA